CCCCCCCCCCGCCAGGCAGCCGGCTCCCACACACTGTGCTTGAGGCCCTGGTATCGGCCCGGTGCCCCGGGCCACATGCGCACGTAACACACGCTCACCCACACCCACATCGGCCCTGCGTGGCCGAGGTCCCGTGGCTCACTGGGGCGCAGCGAGGAAGTCTGGCGGGTGAGCCCGGGAGCCCCTGGGGGGACGGCGAGGAAGCCCAGCCTGCTGGCCTGGCCTTCGGGGAGGCCCACGTTTTAACCCCTCCCCTGGGGCTGTTCCCAGGTGGGGACCCATCCTGCCCCTCTGCCAGAGTCTGTCAGGGCTCCATCCTGAGCCTCTGTTCCCCAGATTTTAAATGACACCTCTAACAAACAACCCCATTTTCCCCCACAGCCTAGAATGTCTCTGCCTGATGCCCCACCAGCTCTCCACACAGGAGCAGGCCCCACACTCCCCCAGCCTGGGCCACCTCTGGGCCTCCGCTCACGGACTCAGGACACAAGCCACAAGCCAAGAGGCACCCCCAAGGGCTCCCTTACTCAGCCAGTCCACACCACGTGCTTTTTCAGCCTCTTCCTAAACGTAAGTCTGATCCGCCACCATGCGCCGTATTTTCTGCCTCCGTCCTTCCTGGTCCAAGGCCTCCAGCAGCCCTCCTGCACCCACCGCGCACCCTCCTGCATCCTTCTCTACACAACAGCCAGCGCGATCTCTCCAATTCGCAAATCCCACTGTCCCTCCCCTACGTGTGACCCTTCCGCCGCACTCAGGGTAAAATGCGAAATGCTGAGCCAGCCGCCAAGGTCCTGACTTCACACAGCAGCCTCCCTTCCTGCCGCTCCCCTCCCAGTCGGTAAGGCCCCAGCTTGACACTTTCTCTCTAGTTCTGGAATGTATCAAGCCCTTTAGCAGCCCCGGCCCCTTACCAAGACCCTCACCCGTGTCTGCCTTGTTCCTCCTTCACCACCCGGGTAAACGTCATTTCTCTCGAACCTGCCCGGGCAGGTTCCCTGTTGTTCGCTCTCACAATACTCTCTACTTCTCTGAAGCATCCGCCACGTGGAATTCAAGTTCAGCACTGTCTTTCCACTAGCCTGTAAGTGTCACCGGGCAGGCGCTACCCCTGCCTCGTTCTTCACTGTACTTGCAGCCCAAGTGCAGATGCTGGTGCTCAGCAACTGAGTTGCATGAGGACAAAAGAGGCCCAGGGCAACTGGTCCTCTGGGGAGTGGAAGGAAAGAAGGAAGGAAGGAAGGACAGACGTTTGCTGGTGTGAGCCTGAGTTTCCTTCCTCCCAGGCTCCCTGGCTCAGAGGGGCTCCGCACCAAGGCCCTGACAGCCTCGCCCTGAGAGCAGGGGGCTTCCTTTTGTTTAGAGCTTCTGTTAGATCATCAGGGTTTTCCCCTGCAAACTGCCAAGAAGGAACAGAGGTATGAACCTCTAAGTCCCGTGACTCCAGCACACAGCGGTCCTTAAACACTACAAATGTTAGACTGGGATAAGCGCCACAGCTTAAGTGTTGTTACACCCCGATAAATAAGCAAAAAAACGTGAGAAAACAAAATTAGTTTAGAAAAACTGATTTAGCCTTCGGCTTCATCATTTAACTTTTTATGGTTGCCATGACAACCACAGGTCCATTTATTAAGTCATAGCGTCCCTTGTGTAATGCCATCGCACAGGCACCGTCGTGGGGGAGCCGCCAGCTGTGGACTTACCTTGAAGTCATCCGGGAGCAGCAGTTTTGACGTCCGCAGGAAGCTCAGGACGTAGCGGAAAATCTCCCCATCCCGGTCGATGAAATAATGTTGCTTCAAACTGTCCAGGACGATGGGTTCGGTGCCATTGAAGAGGCGGCTTATCCTGGGAGAGACAGGCAGGGCAGGACATCTGAAGGCAGGAGCTAAGTCCACCTGCCCCACTTCCCACTCCTTAGAGCCACCCTGCTGGAGGGGCCGGGGCCTCGCGTGGGTGACTCTGGGACTGTGTCAGGCCTGACAACACCTGCACACACCTGGGGCAGCCAGGCCACAGTCAGACAGGACACGCCACACACCTCACCTACACTCGCAAGTCACAGCCAGAGAGGGACACACCCAGCTATACATGCCAGCTGGCCCACACCCGTCACAGGGCTGGAAAACTAGCAAGACACAGACATGGCCACCCCACCCCACGCACACAAAGTCACAGGCCCGGTATGCACACCCTCTCCAGGAGAGCCACCCAGAATATGCACGTGACCATCCGATACCCCAGCCAACAGCCACACACCTGCCAAGACAGTGCTTGGTAACACATGTCCTCCTCACCCAGCCCATGTCAATGAGCATCAGACATGATACACCCGGGCAACAGGCCTGGGGTCACACGGTCCCCTCCCTCCCAACGCACAATCTCAGGCAGACCCAGACACATCCAGGCAAAGGACATACACCTGCCAACACAAGGCACCGAGAGACAGGAAGTCACAAACACCCCACAGCCACTCAGGGAGCCATGAGGGAGACACACAGGCAGGCAGGAGGGACAGCACGTGTGCATGCATGCCAGTGCACATGCAACACAGTATATGCATACATGCCAGTGTGTACATCATACACACCAGGCACACGTGGGGGCCGGTACTGAAAGGCAGTGGTTCCAACAATGCAGAACCTGCAGGAAGTTCTTAGGGAGCCCTCATGCCTGTCTCTGTCCACTCCAGGAAGAAAGAACCAGGCCTCAGAGCTGGTACCTCCCCAACGTCCAGGTGGCAGGCTCTGGCTTGGCCAACTGTCCTGGCAGACCCTAGGCCAAGCTATGGATGCTTAGGAGCCCCAAAGAGGGATGGGGGCAGCCACGAGCTTGGCCTGGGGACAGGAGGGAGGCTGGCAGCGTATCCCCAGTGTCAGCACCATCAGACATCTTTTGGCAGGCAGGGCCATGCCCACTTGTGCCCAGCTAGACTCTGCCAAGGTGGCATCTTGCACAGCTGGGAGAAGGGGAACCCTTACCTGAGACCCAGGTCTTCCTGCTCAGCCTGGACACAAGCCAGTGCCCAAGCCCCCTTACTCCCTTCCTGCACCAACAAGGATCCCACCAGAGCTGTTCCCCTGTCCCCACAGCGGCCTGCTCCTCTGCCCACTCTCAGTCAGCGCTCCCAAGGCCCTGCCATCTGTGCCCAGGACGCACTAGCTGGGCAGAGGCTGAGGAGGTCAGAGCACCCAAAGCCTGGCCCAGCACCTCCCACCCAACCATCCTGTGCTCTGGTGGCCTGGCACACTCGACGCATCAGCCATGGTACGGAGGAGCCATGCAGTCACCTGTTCTCACTCTGGGGACATGGCCCAGTGCCTGTCCCAGTGGGCCAGTATAAAGGGCAAGGCTTTGTGAAGAGGTCACAGCTCCTATGAGAGGTGTGGAGAGGCCTAAGCCCTGTCAACCCCCCAGGCGTGGTGACAATGATGCTGGGGGACACAGCCCCTGCTGGAAAGCCTTGTGGGTTCCTTGGCTGGTTCCAGCTTTCGAAGCCCCGAGGACCTGGCCTAGCAGAGCCTGGGCATTCAGACTTCAGAGTGGGGGCCACCCAGCACCCCTGGAGATACAGGGAGCAAGGCCACCAGGTGCCACAGGCAGTGGTCAGCAGACAGCTGAGGGCCCACACGTGGCACCAGCAGCTAGAAATAAGAGCCATGTCCACGGGTGAGTCAACAAATCCAAAGCTCAGCCTCCCTGGGAACGTCCCCTGCTCTTTCCAGTTGAGCTCAACCACTCCGGGCAGCAGCAACATCCTAGGCCTGGCCGAGCTCCAAATCCCTCTGACGTCAGGGCTGGTGGAGGCTCCAGCCCATCCTGTTGGTCCAGAAGACTCCTGTCCCACCCGTATTCTAGGGCTGGCTGAGTTCTAGGTTGTCTTATTGGTCCAAGGTGAGAAGGTTCTCAATCTGCCTTACTTCGGCACTGGCTAGTTCTAGATCTTTCCATGGTTCAGTATCTGTTCCAGTATAAACTGGCAGCTGTGCAGCCCCTCCCAGGATAAAGGCCTTTCATGCCTTCAGTGTCCAAGGCTGCCGAGGATGTGAGCGGGATAAGGGAAGGTTAGGACAGTCGCCACGAAGGAAGCCCCAGACACTTGCAGCATGAGCTCCTGCTGTGACTTCCTGGGTTCTGTCCCTGGCTCTACACGTCCCCCGAGGAAACCGGCCCAGGCCACCCTCTGAGAGGCTGCAGGGTTTGCCAAGCCGACTTCAGACGTCCTCCGTGGAATAAGCTGGCTAGTTCCTGCAGCGGCAGCTGGGACCCTCGGGGCAGAAAGGTGCGGTCCAGCCACCACCTGCGTGCTCCTGGGAGGCATCGGGCACCTTTTTTTCTCTTCCTCATTTTTAAGCTCTGGCTCCAATTTCCCGGATGCTTCGGTGCAAGGTTATATTGGTTCTGAAGCTCCTGGCCATCTCCATTCCTTGCTTCCCGCAGTGAGCACAGACGTCAGTGCGTGGCTGGGATGGCAACAGCTAAGCGACACTGGCAGGCAGGACAGGAGCGAGGGGGCTGCCCCAGGGAGTCCGTGCTCAGCCGTCTCGGGGTGAGGACCAGAGGAGGCACCCGGGCCACCCCAAGCCGCAAGGAACCAGAAGCCCAGGCAGTGCAGAGGGCGCAGGAGCTACAGGCGTGGGCACCCGGGCCTCACGGTGCTGCCCAGGACGGGACACTGTTAACATCCGGAAATGCCCTGGGGACCTCAGCATGCTAAATACTCCATCTCCAGGCCACTCATAGATCAGTGACTCTGCATGAGGGATTGATCTTCTTTTCCAGAATTGGCGAAAAACAGTTTTAAAATTGTAATAATCCACTAAAAGAAGGACGGGAGAGATCTGGGGGGCCCTTGCCAGCACAGCTCCCCAACTCACTTCCCAGAGTCCCTGTGCCCAGACCAGCCTACTGGTCTCACCACCCCAGCCTCTAGGCTAAAGCTTCAGGCCTGGGAGCCGCTCTACTGCAGCCAGAAGCTACCCAGGCAGAACAACAGATTCATCCTGAGCCCCAGCCTGGGGGAAGAATGCAGACTGCCGCCCCTTTGGGCACGTCCTGCCTGGAGGGTCCCACAGGCCAGATCACAGGGCCACAGAGGCCTGAGCTCTGCCCAGCAAGAGGGCACACCCCACAGGCAATACAGCGCCCTGGGCCTGGGAGGGCAAGAACCCTGCCCTCCTGCAGCCCAGCACCAAGAATGAGGAGGCCCCTCCGTTCCCCCAGGGCCTGGGCTGCAGATCGCTCTAGAAAAGCAAATGTCTGATTTCTGGAAATACTTTGCAGAGAGGGTTGTGGGCAAAGGTTTTATGAATTTCACTCACAAACGTCGTCAACCGATTAAGGAATGATCTATCTCAAACAACTTGGGCATGACGCAGAAGGCAAAATTGAAATTAAATAAGCAGAATCCATCTCCCATCCCAGACAGTGCTCTGCAGGCATGCAGGCCGATGCTGCGGACCTGGTCTCGTGACTCCTGACACCCTAAAGCCCCAAGTTCAGAGCCCCAGGCCTAGTCTGTCAGGCTGAGGAAACAGAAGCCCCAAACGCATCTGTACCCCAGACTCCCCAAATTTGGAACCACACACTGCATCCACCTCCATCCAGCGTGACCTACTCAAGGGGGCACTCCTGCCCTGTGGGGGCTCCGCCCTGGCCTTCAACAAGCTCCGAAAGCAGCCACCTCCATGCACTGTAATCCTCCCTGCTCTGCGCAGCCATACAGGTGACGATACCGACTGACACCCCCCAGACGATCCTTCGGTGTCAGGGGGATTAATTAATTTCTCCTGTTAAGTGCGCAAAGCAGGGGTGACGCCTGCAGCCCTGGCCTTCCCATGCTCAGCCCCCGGCGGCCCCAGGGAGAGTGGTGGCCGCCTCCCTGTGCCAGGAGCAGGCAGTTGTGGCTCAGCAAGCAGCTCCAGGAGATCTCAGGGACGCAGCCCAGCGCAGGTCAGCCCTGCCGCTGCGCCAGCAGGGAAACCAGGTCCTCTGCCCAGGAGGCAAGAGTGGGAGAGGTGGCGGTACCTAGAACCTCAGATAAGGTTGAGGGTCGGGGCAGCCCATGAGTTCAGCAGCGTGGGGGACTCCCTACCGGGAGGAGACTGTAAACCCCCAACCAGGGTCCTGGTCAGAGACGTTTTATCCACTAATGGGGTATGAGGCTCCTGCTCATCCACAGCCCTGGATATCCTGAATTTCCTGGAATCCCTGCCAGTCACTGACTGCAACGCCCAGATCCAAGGGAAGCGTGCTGCCAGCCCTCAGCGCCCAGCAGTGGCCACCCACACCCACAACCATGGCAACTGCTGCTCCTTCTCCTTCCCCTTCTGCAGTTTCCCAAGGTCAGAACAGGAAATGGGATAGAATAGCCACCCCTCACCTCATGACCTCAGGACTTATGTACTTAGCATAGCTCACAAATGACCCCCTGCAGAGGCCAAGCCTGAGTCCCACTCCAGCCAGGCCCAGGTGGGGCTGGCTCTGAACAAGTCCTAAGCCTCTGTCCACCAGTGGGTCCAGAGCTCACCTTGCACTACCAATGCCGCAAGATCAGGGTCACAGCCTCTGTCCAAGGCAGTCTTCAACAGGTGGATTCAGCCTCCCAAACCCTGGCTCCCCAGGTACCAGCCCGTGCACCCTGGAGAGTCAGGTGTGGGGGGCTGGCAGGGGAGACAGGCCTCCGGGCAGCAGGCTGCAGACGCTGTCCCCCACCACATGCCTGCTGCTCCAAGGGGTCCGGCTCTTACCTGGAGTCAGGGTACTTCGTGAGCGTGGCCAGGCTGCTGGTGTACATGTGGCCGCCCACATCGATGTGCACAGGCGCGTTGGACTTGGTGAGCTGAGCTGGCAGTGGGATCCCCTGGGCAGCCAGGGGGGACACGGGCGACCGGGTGAGAGATAGCCGGGACATGTTTCCTCCCTCCTAGAGATGAAAACAAGGCAGGAAACAGGAGTTTCTCCACGACACAGCCGTGCACTCCCTTTATTGGGAGCGTGATCACAGATCTAATCAGATCACTTCTGCCTGTGCCTGATCACATATTCAGCTGACAAATTATGGCCACCACTGTAATTAAGTGTATTTGCATCATTTTCTTCAGAGTACCAGAGGGAAAAAGAAAGATGCTTATTAGCAGTAAGAAATCAAGAAAAAAAAAATTTTCAAGGTGTCAGCCTCCAGGGGCATAAAACAAACTGCAAAATTCTAATTAAAGGTCGCGGGCTTATGTGTTAGATGTGAAATATCCCCTGACAAACGAATCACCAATTTGTGAATTGGGATTCAGGGGTTTTTGCAAGTTTGTCTCAGTAACGAGACACCTCTAAATTAGTGACTTCCTCAGCACCTAAGGCGTTGAGTTTTATACATGCAGTAAATTTCACATCAAATTAAGAGTATTTTTGTTTCAAAAAATACATAATGGTGCAGCCAGTCAACAGCCATCTCCTGAGTGCCGTCGCCCCGAGGGAGGACGGCCAGGGAGTAGGTGCTCGGGAAGAAGGCAGACAGGGGCCCAGCACCCACCCAGCCCGCCCCGCAGGCTCACCGCGGTGCCGCCGCCGCTGCCGTGTGCGTGAAGTGAGGACCCGCTCGGCCGCTCCTTGCGGTGAGGCATCTAGGCTTCCATCGCTGCCCAGAGTACCTGCGGGAAGCACGGACAACACCAGACGGGGCTTACTCCCCGGCAGCTGTGGGCACAGGGTCTCCCATGGAGCGAAGGACACTTAGAATCATCCTTTCCGCACACTCTCTGGGACCCCACGTGCTCCACGCAGCCCACCACCATCGTCCGTCTCCGCAGCCCAAAGCAGGTCTCCCAGCCATAGCTGATTACACACATGCACACACACACACACACACACTCTCACACATACACTCTCACATGCACACATGTATTTTCTGGGCAGCTCCATGCCTGCTAATTCAGCTAATGATAGTACTGAAACATATGCTCACCATTATTGCCCCGAAATGTTTCAGAACAAATCTGATTTTCCTGGTATTTTGGTTTAGAGCCATGTTACCAAGCGTGTCTCCTCTTGCATCAGCAGAGAACCTTGTAGACCAGGGCTCAGGAAGGACCCCCCACCCTCCATGGGCCGGGGAGTGTCAAGATGCAGTTTGCAACTGGCCAGACACACACAAGCCCATCAGCAGAAGTCAGGGCACAGGGACAAGGGCAAGTCACTTGGGAAGCCACCTCTCCCCTGTGGCTCCCCAGAGCAGAGCAAACCTGTCTTTGACTAGTCTGCACCTCACAGTTTGTCCCCAGATCCCCAGAATGGTGTTGTCTGTGCCTAATGTCTTCCAGAGCCCTCAGGATGACACGCCTCGCCCCGAGGCATCAGAGAGCTGGCCAGAGGGAAACAGCCCATCAGCCAGTGCACCCTTTCTCCACTCCTCCCCAGATCACTCAGTGACTTCCCTCTTTGCCACAACCACCTGAAATAAGATTGTCCTTCAGTCCCTTGAAGCCACCCCCGGGGCACTTTGCAGCCCCTTTTGCAGGAGGGGTGGGGAGGGGGGGTTCCTGTAGCCACTTCCACTGACTTGGGGCTGTCTGGAGGGAGCTCTGCACAGTGAGTCGTCACCCCTCACACATGTACACAAGCACTGGCCTCCACACCCCCACCCTGCACTTCTCTGTCGTAGGTTTAACCTTTGAGAGAACAACCAAATGACATTCTTGGGACCCAAGGGACAGCTTTCTCTTGTTAAACTCTGGCATCTAAGTTTGTGCCTTGAAATTCAACATTCAATTTTAAAACACAGAGCAAGGTCCAATGAGATCAAATCCTGCAACTTTAGGTGAGGTTCCTCTCCTGTGGTTTGTTCTGCCCGGAGTGCCCCAGCAAGTTCCTGCCATGAAACTGTCCGGGCTGGGGTGGGAGTGGGAGGTTGCTATTCGCCCTCACTGGGGGCTGGCTGCGAGCTCAGGGTCTGCTGCTTTTGGCAGTCCTGAGTTCCGGAAAGCTTAAAAAAGAAAACCGGGTCACTTAGCTCAAGGAAGTTCTGAGAACCAAAACAGACCTCAGGAATGGCTTATCCTGCCCTACGAGGCTCTGCTGGGGGAGGAGTCAGAAGGGAAGACGGAGGACAAGCTGAACTGGAAGGAATTCCGACTGAGATTCTAAAGCGGACGGCTCAATGTTTTCCCTCCCACCAGGACACTATTAAAAGTGACATTTAACGCCGAGCACCCGCCACAAGCGCTGCTCCACCCTGCTCTCACTCGGCCTCTTTTCCACGGCAAGCAAAACCTGATGTTCACGGCAAACCAGAAACTCACCATTGGAAGCCCCAGGCTTTACGCCTTCACCCGAATCTCCAACGCTCCTGCGGACAAACGCATCTGTGCCGGGCCACGGCCTTTCCCCCAAGACCACTGCTGAAGTCAGAAGCACAAAAGTGGGCGCAGTCAGAGACACAAGTTCATTGCACCGCCACCAGCACCAAACCCACAACCCAGCCCGGCGCGCCCCGGCCCTCCGCAGGCTTGGCCGAAACGCCTGTTGCAGGAGGGCCCGCTGATGCCCGCGGGTGCCCAGCCTGGCCCGGTAGTGACCCGCTGCTCCAGCTGCGGTGGGAGACCCGGGTCCCGCACCGCCCGCCGCCGAGCCCCGCCCGCCCGAGCGGAGGGAAGTGAGCAGAATGCCACGCTCATTTACACACAAAATGATTTTGTGTCCCATTGTGCTCGCAGTTGTTCAGCTCTCTGGGGGTGATTAAACTGGCTGAGCTGCGGCAGCTTGAGACGATTTCACTAAATCGCTTCTTCGTGAAGTCGCTTCTTTGCTAAGCTGTTATTTTAACCATAAAAGGTAAACAGAAGGCGCCTTGCGAGCTCCCTTCAGCTCTGCGCCCTGGGCGCCGGCCCGGAGCGCCAAGTGCCGGGAGCCTGCAGAAGTGTCCGGGGGGGTGGGCCGGCAGCGGCAGTCGGGCCACCTGGTGCGCGCCAGGCCCCCGCAGCCAAGCCAGCCGGCCGGTTGCAACTTCGGGCGGCGGAGCCGGCTGGGCCGCGGCTCCAGGCACCTCGGGGCGGGGTGGCCGCGGCACCCAAAGCGCCAGGCGGGGTGGGGAGGGGTGTGCGGCGGGGGCGGGGCGGTGACAAAGTTAAATCAAGAGGCAGACACTTGGAGACCACAGATGGGAAGCTCGCCTAATTAAGGACGTAAAAGCGCTTTTGTTCTCAAAGTTTATTGTTGCCGGGATTTAAAAAAAATTAATTGAAACTAATGCTGTTATTCACTCGTGCAGTTAAATTCCTTCATGCACATTTGAGACACGCAGGGAAAACTTGGAAGCTTATCTTTCTGCAGTCAGGAGTGGGGGCCGCAGGGGGACAGAAGGGCGCTGCGGCGGCACGCCGGGGTGGGGTGTCGGCGAGCGTGTGCCCGCGTCCAAGTCGGGGGTGCGGGCGGGCTGCAGGGCCCCGGAGGCGGCGACCGGGTCTCAGAGCAGCCCGCTCCCCACCCCAAGCCCCGCGCGCCTGGGACGACCACCAGCGCGCCGGCCCCTCCCGCCCGGTTTCGGACTCCCGGGGTGGGCGTCAGGGGACGAACGTCTGCCCCGTTGGAGAGTTTTTCTTTCTCTGTTTTAGGCGCCAAGCCAGGCCCTGTGCGCCCCTAAGCCCCAGCTGCGGGAGCCCGTTTGGGACCCCGGAAACTCGCCGGCCCTGCAGGACACTCGGCCCTACACTGGGGCCAGAGTGCGGGAACCTGCACGCACGCCCACACACACACTCACACACACACCCCTGCGGCAGGAAGCTCCGAGCCCGCCCGGGTGGGGAGGGTCCACTCGGGGCCGGGACCAGCCCACGTGGGCAGATGCCCCCCCCGCACCAGGCCTTTGTGCTGGGCGCCCCCGCGCCGCCGGCCCCCGTCGCCCAGCAGAGGGACAAAGCAGCCGCCCCCGCCCAGGTCCAGACCTGGGCCGGGCGACTTTCCCGGCATCGCAGCCACTTTGGGGACAGGGGTGCGCGGAGCGGTGGCCGCCCGCGCTGGGCTTACCTCGGAGCCGGAGCGGCGGATCCGGCTCGGGCGCAGCCCCCGCCCCCCGCAGCCGCCGGTCTCGGGCGCCCGGCGCAGCCTCGCCGCCTATGCTCGCCGCGCGGGTCGCTCCGGTCTCGTCCTGGAGTTACTTTCTCTCTCGCCCCCAACCCTCCCCCC